AACGGCCGCAACACCCGGTATTCCCAGCCGGTCACCCAGGCACGTACTAATGGGGCTTGACGTTGCTTCGGTGATTAGGCGAGAACCATCATGGGCGATGAGCTTTTTATCGTGCTGTTTGGTTGTTGTCAGTCCTGTCTGAAGATGGAGGAAACATTTATCATCAGTGCTCATATTTGTTCACGGTCAGAGTGAGATGAGGCGTGCTGTATACAAATCGTCGAGCTAAAAAAGATAATCACTCCATGTCCGCGCTCCTAATTCGACCGTCGGCGGTGTCGTTGATTAAAGGGGCGACAGTCAAACGGAGCAAGAGAAGGTCCGAATTGAGACTGAGCGTGTGCACGAGTTCTGAGTTCTATTGCGGTGAATTGTTCGAAATTCGACAGAATAGATTTGGCACATTCAGGTGTGCCAACAACAGTGATAACACAAATATCACCATCCCTAGTGCTCATCTAATCGATAGGTTGATAGATTTAGTCCGTGGCACTCCTTCACGCTCAATCTTTTGTTGTGGTTGTATATGCCTGCCTGTTGGCATTGTGTACTCCTGTCTCTCTGTCACACGCGCACAATCATTCCTTGGCTGTGGTGCGTACGGCACAGGCCAGTGCTATGTTCTATCTTGTCGACTCACTCAATGCGTTTATTGAAGTTGTCCACTTTTGAGATCACGCGAACACTCGTTTCACAGTATCACTGTTCCGAAAAACAAACACTATAGGAGCCTCATGTCGCTTTGTAGATAAGCCTAACAGGTGGAGTGACATTATCGATTCTCAAATTTGTGGAACTAAAAGGTGAGACGGGCGAAGCTTCAAGGGCTAGAATATTTCCTGCCGTTTAAGGGTGTATAATGATCATTCAAAATACACTGGTGGTTCCTACTACCATGATTGATGATTTTTCTTCTTTACCTGTTACGATAGAGTAGGCATTAGAATCAGAAAGCTGGAAGCCGTACCATGGTAAAGATATTGAATGCAGTCAAACTACAGTTGCGAAGAAACTGAGTAACAATATACACGGCGGAGGGGGGGGGCACTGTTAACAACATTCAGTCATATCACTCTATGTCTACCACAGTCATTTAAACTGATCACGAGCTCTGAAATCGTGAAGTTTAATGCAACCCGTATGTGTTCAAGTCTCTTCATGATCGTCAGCTTTGTTGTCGTCCGGTTCACCAGTCCAAATCTGGGGTTTAGGTTACCGGTTTCCACCATGTGACTATGTGATCCCTCCCGTCTGCTGTTCATCGTACAAGTGTGTGATTTAAAAATGTCTCCTGTTCAGGATTAACCCTCATACCCTCATTCTGGGTCTCACATTGATCATTCTGCTTTCCACCTATCACCTGCTTCAACAAACAACGCGCGCCTTGGTAATCTACTTGGTAATATGCGTAACAAGTGCTCCAATCGGTTTAATCTATACAGTTCGATCACACGCTGCTCCTTTGGGTGACCGCAATTACCAAAACGTCTTCGCCTAAGCTCAGCATTGTTTTAAGGATGTCCTATCGGACTTGTGCAATGCGTCGTAACCAGCGCTGTTCGAACAGCGACAGTTTATCTTTATTCTGTTTTCGGTAACGGTCAAATATCTGCTCCATGTAGCAGCGCTGACGTTACAGATCCAGCAACTCTTCACAGACAATGGAATGTCGCGGAGACGAGATATGCTTCTCAACCTAATCGTCTGTATACTTGCTACAATTGCATCCTCGAAGCATCCGCCAGTTTAGGGTGTAGCTGCTAAACTGGAAAAAAAGAATTGTTTACTTCATTCATAGTTCCCCCAGCTACTGCGAACTGTTTACAATTGGTACCTCATAGAGGTGAACAGGTGACACTTTGATAGCTCGGTGAAACCAGCCAACTTTAATGTCTCTAGTTTTTTTAGCACCGATTCAAAAGGTCCTTTAATTGTTGTTCCTAAAAATTCAATATGGTCACGGGTGTGGGTGTCTTCAGATGTGACTGGTCACCCTCTTCTTCCGCCTCGCGAAATGCACCCATACCACCGAGCGTCTGAAATAGCGTCTGCGGAGAAAGCCCTCCTCGTGTGGCAGGTGTTTTCCCACCAAAGCGAGAGGATGAAAAGCCAACATCCCGGGGCCATAGTCATTTTTTTCATTTTGCCTTCTTTTATTGAATACACAATGATACAATTTTCAGGAAGGGGGAAGCGGCCAATCAAAGGGCTGCCATACAACACACATGGTGAAAGTCAGGCGGTGTTGGTGGGATTCGAACACTTCTCCGGGGTGATAATTTGGTGACGTTACCACCGGGTTAGTAAACCACTAGAAGTTCACCTGGGGGAGATCGCTAAAAACCCTGATTCCGAACCAATCAAAAAAGAGGCGTGCGAACCAGAGAGCACCGACAACTTCCTGGTTGTGACAGTGGTCATCTGCTTTATTGGAATTCGTCGGTCGTCTCCGTCCAAAGGACGTATGATCCGATAAACTGAACACCGGCTCCTGATAGATAGCTATAGTGTAATGTTTATCCTACTTAGGTAGTTGCGTGACCAATCACGATAGCGTAGTCAATGAATTAACCGCCCGCATTTCCAAGGTTCGAGCAGCTTACATAGGACTGAAACACCCTAGGTGCATACGCGATGTTTCGCTGAAACTGAATTGTCATGTATGCAGGCCCGTGTGCGGTCAGTTCTGCTCTACGATTACGAGACCCTGAATTCGCGCATGGAAGATATTCGTCATCTAGAAGTCTTCGACTGCCGATGTCTACGTAGTTTGGCACGGGTTGGATGGAGCGAACGCGCAAACAACTCTGATATAAGCCGTCTTGTAGTTGGTGATGATTCGATGGATAATTCTTTGTCACATCAAATTCACATTATTCAACTTCGCTGGTGAGAACACGTATTGCATATGCCCAGCCATCGTCTACCGCACCGTGCCTTATTCGCAGTTGTGCCTCCAGGTTGGAAGAAACCACGTGAAGGTCAACAAATGACGTGGAACCGAGGCATGAAGAAATGCACAGAGCGCTTAGGTAGAATAGGTGTCTCCCGTCTTCCAGGTTGGGGTGCAAAAAGCTCTGCAACTGGTTGGTTGGAGACACTGAGGGATATGGCAACTAACCGACAGCCGCGGCGTTCTTGTTACCATTTCTCATCCGGTCAGAATGCTTGAAAAGTTATGTATGCACATTTTCATTGTGTACTCTGTGTGTTGACCGTGGAGTTTCACTTTATTTTCCGCCCTCCAGTTGAGCTTAACCTCTCTCTTATGCTTTATCACTTGATTTGTGTACATTGTGAGCTTGGCAGCGACCAGTGAAGTTCGCTTCACTGTATCTCGCCGTACGATGATAATGATGAATAGATTGCAATTTTCAGTCACTACCTCGCTGTCTCGCCGGTCACGTTTTGAATTAAACAAATGCTCCGGTGGGAAATTCCCCAGGAAAATTCACCTGATTTGGTCTGGGCAACCCAGCAGTATTCTGCCTACGAGGAAATCATGAACCTTTTGCTTTTTTCTAAACATTGTTGCGTTCTGATTCGTTTGGCACACAGACTGAACTCAAACACGTTTGTGAAATATACTGTACATTACTGGCATAATCATGACTGAGAATAATCATTTTTGCCTCAATATGATGCAGTAATTTTGAAATGAAATGAGTCAGTCTCATAACATTCATCAACCTGCGTCATACACGTACCAATACCAAAAATATAGGTATCGGACTTCATCTTTGGAAAACGCACGAAAATCCTGTCAGTCTCCATATCATTAGGATGCAACATCATGATGTGGGTAAAAAATACGTTATCGTTCGTCTCAACCCCCGGGCACTTTGTAGAGCTCTCCATTTCAAGTCTCAGTGTTCAGATTACCGTAATGACAGAATTCCCCCCACCCCGGTCCTCGTCTATCAATCCTCACATCAAGCTGAGTCAGTCAGTCAGTACTTGACCTCCGGGTGACAGTACTGACGTTTCCATTGCCATTTTCCGATTGGACGGACTGTTTTGTGAGCAGTGTCCTGTTTGTCAGCCACAGTGGTTTACTTTGTTCGCATTCGACTCTTCCCTTTCCGTATCCATGCATAAATGAACGGGTTCTTTTAACCAACTAATTCAAATTTTGGTGGGAGATAGCTTTGCCATCGTCCGGTTCAGTACCACGCCTATCCTATCGGGGCCTTATTTGGTTCACCACTCCAAGTCCCGCGGGGCTTAGGTTACCGGTTTCCATCACTGAACAGCAGGTCTTTATGACTATGAGGTCTACCCCGTCCGCTGTTCATCACAGGAAAGTGTGTAATAAAAAATCACCCGTCATTAGTTTTGTTTGTCTCCCTACTCTTTTATTAGTTATAAATATAAGTTCTTAGTTAACATTTACTATCTCTTGTTAATCCTTTTTTATCTCTTGTTATCATGAGTTGCTATCTGAGCATCAGCTTAAACCAAATGGGTTTTACAGCAACACATCATTTACCGCGGTCCCGGGAAGCGACCAACTAGCCCACTAGTGCAATGAGATGCGCTCTAATTCATCGGAGGGCAACTATGGATCAGTGTAATGGCTCATATACACAAGTAGCTTAAAGGTCCACACATACTAATTCTCTATAATCTGTTTTTTTAACTTGCTTCACTCTGATAGATTAATCTCGCTTTCTGAGATCGATGTCACTCACATCGCATTCCTTATTCAACTGTGTTATCTGGGCTCATTATTTTTCCTCTTTGCTCACCCCCCCATCGAGATGTGTCATTCGAATCGGAACCGACTCGACCGTGCCGAATTTCCCTGACGTGCACGGATCAGAACGCTCGTGATCTGCTCGTGTCCACATTGACCGATTTGATCCAGTATCAGTCCCAAATGGAACAGACACGTCCTGATCGCTCGTTGCATGAGCGCAACCCGTCTGCCACCGGTGCTGTTTCACGTCATCCGGGCAGCACGATCACCGTGACCGAGAACATGACGACCGCTCAGTTGTCGTTAAATCGGGAACCAACGGAGTACTCAGGCATACCGAGTGAGGTGAGCTGATCCCTGTCCTCCCATTCTCTCCCCGGTCCGTAATAGTTATTGAACCCTGTTCTACTGGCCAATTGAAAATTTAATCCTGAGTTTCTGATCACACGATACATAATATGCGGTACAGGGTGCGAGATCTGCCCACGTGTTGAATTTGTTTGATGCATAAGATTGTGCGGTGCTTTTCAACGTTAACGCTTTCTGAAAATATTTTTTTATATACATAGAATGTGTGTAGGTAGCTTTGCGTGATTTGCGATTGCAGTTGTATGAGTTCCCCGTGAGAGGATCTCCTAACTTTCCGGTTTATCTGTGGTTATGCCTTCACGTTTATCTTTGCGCTGAAAATTGTGGTCCCTAATGGCATTATTTTATGAATGAATGTGCACTAG